GTTTTGCTCAGTTTTGCTCAGTTAAGCTCTTTTTGCTCAGAAAAAAGAATCCACTCAAAGATAAATATAAAAATAAATGATTTTGCTGCTAGTTTCAAATGTGTGTTACTTAAGCTCTTTTTGTAGCATAAATAAGCTACTGTTACATTTCTTCTTTGTAATAATTATTTTACAGAATAACAGAGCTGTGTCTTTTCTAGAAACAGGAAACCATGCAAAATAAATCTTAAGCTTTGTGCCTGATGTTGTTTGGTATTGTCTAAAAATTTATTGCAATCTAGGGTCTTCTCTTAAACACAAGGTTTAACTGTTCACATTTTAATAAATGTGTTTTGTTTAATACATGGAACACAAAGATAATATTGGCATCACCCACAAGCTGAAATTTCCTCTTTACAGCAAGGTGTGAACCCCAAACTGTGGTTTTGGGCCAAAAATAACATAATTTCACAAGGTCACATATGTCACTGGGTGCTGTAAGGCAAGAGTTAATGAGTATGTATGTACAGTGGCAAGTAAAATCAGTCAGAAAGAAGTTTACTGTGGCCTACTACATATACGTGATATAATCTTACTGTATTACATACAAACAAACTGTTGTATGACTATGACGACCAAAATAGAAACTGGTAATGTTAATGAAATTTATCTTGCCCAAATCCATAGACTTTGTCTGGCTAAACCTATTTTAATAAACAAAACAGTAATAATTAAACACAACTGAAATTTTCATAATTATTTCTCTCAAAAGGCATTTTTTTCAGTTAGTGTGTTATTTCAATTCCTTGCAGTCTTTTTCACAGCTCTCTCCATTGCAGGGTTCACCTTGGTTCGTTTGTAGAGTACTTTAATAGCCTGTAATACCTCCTCTGTTTTTAGTGTATATATTATGGGGTTTAACATGGATGGAATTGTTTGTGTCAAAGCAACATTAATTATTCTGACATTTGTACTCATAGGTATAAAACCTACAGTATAAACACTAATAATTGGTACATAAAACATGGCCACTAATATGACATGGGAGGTGCATGTTTTCATAGCTTTGATTTGCTCAGCTCCATGTGAGATCTTCTGTAATGCAAAACCAATACAAACATATGAGAGAGCTATTAGTATCAGTGGAATGTAAAGCAGTGCAGCAGTTAAGACATTGCCAATTATGAAATTCATGGAGTAATCATTACAAGCTAGGTAAAAGAGACCATGATCACAGAAATAGCTGTCAACTGCAGTAGATCTACAGAAAGACAATCTGGTAATTAGAGCTACCATCAGAGTAATGACACTCAGAGAGAAAATCCACATAACACAGATGATTAAAGTCATTGCAGTGTTGGTGAGAATTGCATGATACCTCAGTGGAAAACATATAGCAATTAGCCTGTCATAGGCCATAGCAAGCAGAGTAAGAGACTGCAGGGTCATAAAGACATAAACAAAAAACATGTTTGCTAGACAGGCTTCATAAGATATGTACTGATTCTCAAACAGAAACATGTCCAGAATCTTTGGAATGAGAGCAGAGCTTCCACACAGATCAGACAAGGCCAGGTTGAAGACAGCTATGTACTTAGCAGTGTGTAAGCTGCGTGCCAGGTATATGGTGCCCATTATAAATAAATTCCCCAAAACAGTCACTGCATACACAAAGCACAGAAACACATAGTAGTACTTTGCATGTGGGACATTGTAAAGTCCAATGATGTAAAAGCTGGAGGGACGAATAAATGTTGCATTTGGTGATGAAACTGACTGCATGGAAGTCAAGTCAGCAGACATCTGGCTTCAAAACACCTGTTAGAAGAAATGGTTTGCGTTAATTAACATAAATTAGATATTTGCTGGAACACCTCATATTCATTTTTTGTTTAAATACATGTATAAATAACATCATTTCTTTATAATATTAATGAAAAAAGTTGTAGAAGAGGAATGAAATCACAATTCTCGTGTATCATTTGCACTATTGATACTGTACCTTCTGCCTTTGAGAAAGAATGGCAGCATATCTGTGAAGATCACTTATATTTGTTGTTTGGTCTCTGGTGGTATCATTCCCTACAGCACTGCTCCTCAGTAGAACTCTAAAGAGACAAAGAAAAACAAGTCTCCACATAGATCTCTGCAGCCACATTTGTAATGAAATGAGTCAGATAACAAATTAAGCAATCAGCCTGACCATTAAAAAATTTATTGCATTTCCAGTAAAAGTGGGCAGGAAATGTGTGGCACTGAAAGGTCCACTGTCCAGTCAGAGTCCCCTAACAATCTTAGAGGGATCGTTGTTGTTTTGAAAGCTCCAGGGTAAAATTACCTGTGAATGTTTGGGGTGACATTAGATAACTATCAATCTATCTGTGTTGACTTCAGTTGTGTTCTAGGCACTACATAATCTATTTAACTGAAACATGCCACAATAAAGATGTCTGCTCATGAAGTTGCTTGTAAATTTCTGTTTTGTTTATTTATTAGTGCAGTGGTCACCAACACTGGTCATGGAGTACTCTCCTGGTTTGCACATTTATCACTGCCCCCAAAACACCTGATTTAACTCATCAGCTAATTAACAAGCCATTCCTCAGTTTAAGTGGTTGTTTAACAATATAAAAATACAACAATGTGCAGGACACGGGCTTCATCCGGACTAGGGTTGGGAACCTGTATGTTGCTCTTTTTTGGCTCTGCATTGGCTGTGCAACAGCTTGGTGGTCAAGAACCTCTAAACTAGGCTGGCTAGCTATAATCACATTTTTAGACAGTGACAAAGTTCTTGTTGTTTCTACCACAGCATATTGGAGTTACATCGAGATTGGATAAGCAGTGTAGAGATTTTAACCACCTCCTTTTTAGGGGTTCAAAAGTAATTGGACAAATTAACATGAACATACTCTAGAGGAAGACACAAAAAAACATTGTGTAGTCAGGCAAATCTTCTTTTATATTGAACAGACATTTAAACAGGCAGGAAGAAATGCCCAGCCCAGCACTCCTCCAATACACAATATTTGAGGAGGGTAGACACTTCCAACACACTGTGATCCACCATTCTTGGTTACATGGTACAGCTGGGCAGCAAATTGTCCAATTACGTTTGAGCCTGTAATAATGGGTGGGCTATGTAAATGGATGTAATTCCTACACTGTTCAAATAATGTGGATGTAAATACCCTAAAACTAAAGCAGAAAGTCTGCAGTTTGAGCTTATCATGAGTTATTATCAGTGTAACAGTTAAAATAACTTTGTATATTTATCAACCAAACTGTACATGAGTAGTATTTATGATTATTGTGATGTTTTTTCTGTGAGGGATTGACATTAGCTAGCTGGGTAACATAGTGACAGTACGTGCCAATGTATTTATAATGTTACCAGTAAGATTTTGCTGATAGACAGCCTAAAACTCTATACAAGCCAACAGATAGCTAGCTCTCCGGCTTGCCAGTCACACTGCTATTTTTAACTGTCAGGAACTGTGTCATGTCACTTCCTGATCGGCTTCTCATGAAATTAGATTTTAGCAATGAGTTTTTTAAGAGCTCTTTTTAATTTTTTTGCAAAGCGGAATGATTTAGATTTATTATTAGTTTACATTTTCAATAAAAAAACATATTGAAAAAATGTCCCATCTTTTCATGTTACTACAGAAATAAAGAGTTTTAGACCAGAGGTGGAGATTAATTTTAGCCACACCCCTGCATTTTAGAGCAGGAAGTGAGGCTTCATCCCTGCCCCTCTTAGCCACATGGTGAGTAGTTAGACCCCATTGTACTGAAGTAAATGTGTTCCAAAGTCTGAAAATCAGTATGAAACCTTATGAATTGTCTCTAACTAAACACATATTTTCTGCAATTAAGTAAACATTTTTGTGTTTTACTGAAAAAAATGATGTGTGTACAGCTGTTCAAGGTTGTGGTTGCTAGTCATTTACCGCCCTGTGTTTTTGAGTGCTGCTCAAAATGAGTTAAAATATTTACTGCCGAAACAATCACTGCCAAAACAATCACTACTGAAACGTTTGCTAAAATTTTGGAACTGCTTTGATTGTTTTAATAGTGACAGGATGAAATGTTTAATCATTTATTTTAATAAAATAAACAGAATTAATGCATAGGCTGACTCAAAGCAAAATGATGTGTCCAAATCAGTTACTATAGGCATATTTACCTGTCTGTCTTAAATATAACCACAAATTAGCAACATTTTATTAAATTTGCAAAATTAATCAAAGTCTGCAGAATAAAGAAATGATCTACAATTTAGTAGAAATGCTGTGTCTCCTTCAGATATGGGACACCATGCGAAATGGGCCATTAGATGTGTTTGATGTTGGTGGAGTCTAGTCATGTCCCTGATACTGTGTAAAATGTATTGCCAAGTATATTTTAATATATAGTCTAATACAGAGAACATAAAGATAACGTTGGTAACACCGGAAGGCTGATGTTTCTTCTTTACAGAAATGTACAGACCCCAAATTGTAGTTTTCAGTAAAAAAATATTTGATGAAGTAGGTAATATATTGGCTGTTAGCTAATCAAGCAAATAGCTAATGAATATGTATGACAGTTATAAAATAGCCATTAATATCAGTCAAAAAACAAGAGAAGTGCTCTAAAATAAACAACTGAAGATATGGAAATGGTTTAACAAATTAAAAAAAATTTATATGTCCTGTCCAGTGTCTGATGCTGACAGGAATGCAGTGTGGAATAACCTTAATTATCTTTTTCTGATTATATAAGTTGCTATTTTACATTTTAGATTTATAGACTTTCAAAATAATTTAGAACATCGTGTTTGCTAATTGATATCATTGTAGTGCACAATTTTATCACATGCAAAAAGAAATGGTGTATCAAAATAATTATTAAAAATAAAGTGTACCAAAATAAAAATTGAAGAAAAAAAATAATAATCTTGCCAGAATTCATGGACTTTGATAGACTAGCCTGGGTGAAAATTCCATGATTATTTCTCTCACAAGGCCAATTTCACTTCAGTTCCTTACAGTCTTTTTCACAGCTTTCTCCATTGCAGAGTTCACCTTAGTTTGTTTGTAGAGTACTTTAATAGACTGCAACACCTCCCCTGTTTTAAGAGTATATATGATGGGGTTTAACATGGGTGGAATGGTTTGCGTCAGAGCAGTATTGATTATTCTAACATTTGTATTTATTGATGTTGTAAGACCTGCAGTGTAAATACCAATAATTGGTAGATAAAACATGGCCACTAATATGACATGGGAGGTGCAGGTTTTTATAGCTTTGATTCGCTCAGCACCATGTGAGATCTTCTGCAAAGCAAAAGCGATACAAACATATGAGAGGGCTATGAGTATCAATGGAATATAAAGCAGTGCAGCCATACAGACATAGCCCATTATGGAATTCATAGAGTTATCATTACAGGCTAGTTTATAAACAGGGGCATGATCACAGAAATAGCTGTTAACTGTAGTAGATCTACAGAAGGACAGTCTGGTTATTAGACCTACAAGTACAGCATTGACACTTATAGAAAGAATCCACATAACACAGATGATCAAGGTCATTGTTGTTTTGGTGACAATTGCATGATACCTTAATGGAAAACATATAGCAATTAGCCTGTCATAGGCCATAGCAAGCAGAGTAAGAGACTGCATGGTCATAAAGACATAAACAAAAAACATGTTTGCTAGACAGGCTTCATAAGATATGTACTGATTCTCAAACAGAAACATGTCCAGAAGCTTTGGAATGAGAGCAGAGCTTCCACACAAATCAGACAAGGCCAGGTTGAAGACAGCTATGAACTTAGCAGTGTGTAAGCTGCGTGCCAGGTATATGGTGCCTATTATAAATGAATTCCCCAAAACAGTCACTGCATACACAAAGCACAGAAACACATAGTAGTACTTTGCATGTGGGACATTGTAAAGTCCAATGATGTAGAAGCTGGAGGGAAGTATAAATGTTCTATTTGTTGATGATGCTGACTGCATGAAAGTCAAGTCAGCAGCCATCTGGAAACACCTGTAAGAAATCTGTTAGGAGCAAAGGTTTGCATTAATTAAATTTGTGCTGGAACACCTTATATTAATTTGTTGTGACAATACAAGTATAAACACAATAAATCAACAAATAAACCCTCATAATATTAATGAAAACAAAAAATGCAGAAGGATAATGAGATCTTTATTGCTAGTGTATCATTTGCACTACTGATACCCTACCTTCTGCTGTTGAGAATGAATGCCAACATATCTGTAAAGATCACTTTTATTTATGTTTGGTCTCTAGTGATATCATTCCCTACAGCACTGCCCCTCTGCAGAACTCTGAACAAACAAATTACACAAGTGTCTGCATAGATCTGTACTGCCGCATGTGTAATGAGCTGAGAAGAGGAAAAGAGCCTGACCTTTATTAGGAATTTTATAGCATTTTTTGTAGGTAGTTTGTGTGGTGTGTAGAAATTATGCTACTCTGAAATGTAATTGCTGTCCAGTCAGAGTCCTCTGCCAAACTAACAGGCATTGTTGAAATCAGTTCTGAAAGCTCCTGGGTAAAGTTACCTGTGAATGTTTAGGCTGACATTAGATAGCTGTCTAACTAATTGACTTTAGATAGCTACCTATCTGTCTATCTATCAATAGTGTTCTAGGCATAACATGTTCTATGACTAAAACATCTACATTAGACAACAGCTCATGAAGTTGCTTGTGAATGCTGATCCAAGATCAAATACCGATCCTGTGGGGTCTATGTACAGCACAGTTAATGATTTACCTGTTAAAACACACCTTATTACATACTCTGTTAATTGTCAAGTTTATTGGGTGTGTTTCTGTAGGGAAGCTACAAAACTGCGCTGGACACTGGCTTTCCAGGACTGGAGTTGTACACCCCTCTTGTAGACACAAACTGTTGTCAATACAGCACATAGCCTAAAAATGTGCAATGACTGTGGTTATTTATATGCATCTAAGAAATTTTAAATCGGTTTTGTGAACACTGCAAAAGCTGCCATCAAAATTGTCCAGCTTGACATGTCTTCTCAGGTCCTCTCCAAACTGCTACCAGCTACTCTCACTGACCGCCAAGGCAATATGCAGCTGATCTCAAATAAGGACAGTGACACAGTCAGACTCTTTGCTGCAGTCCAGCAAAATTTAAAGAAAGTGACATAGGACCACCCTATCCCTGTTATTATAACTACATCAGCCCCTTTAGTGCCACATGGGCTATGCATATCTGTTATTATAACTTCATCGGGCCCCAGGTAGATTTTGTGACGTGATGCATTTGTGTTTTTACTTTGTGCATTCTGCGATCACTTTAACAATAGTCTAGATGAAAGTTTTTATGAAAGAGATAAACTCCAGAAAAAGGTAAAAGTTCAGAATATTGAAATTTTGCAAAGCTCACTTTCCATGTTAAGGCACACGTCATAAGTGGTACGAAGAAAAAAGTTACTAAAGACATATTTTAAACACATAAATACAAACACACTGTCACAGACACATCTTTCAATGCCAAAAAATGACGTCTTACCACATAATGGTACTTTAGCGCTAAAGTGTTTCATTTTTTACAGAGTTACAGGAACCTGGTACAGTATTTGGTGGATAGGTGTGGTCTTTCTAGGCTTCTGTTTGAAAAGGAGTGGAAACTCGTCAAAGATCTGATGCAGATCTTTGGTTCTTCCCCAGATGATTCACCTCCGCCTGGCCTTTTGGGAACATTGTGACCAGGCTGATAATAACCAGTCTGGGGATGGTAGGAGATGGTCTTGATGCCTTTGATGCCCAGCTGGTGGTGGAGCTTCATGAGTCTAGAAGTGAAGTTGGTGCCTTGGTAAATCCTCTAAATACTGAGTTGCATAATCCCGGATGTGAAAGAAAGTAGTGATTAATGGCAGTGACTAGAGGAGAATTCTGTTAGATCTATGCATAGCACAGGTTCTCTGACATACGTGTGTAGGTGGCACAATATTTTTGGACATAACTACCAATTGTTGGCCAGTAAAATTGACCATGAGTTTATTCTCTGGTAGGATTTCTGTTGAAGTAGGTGACCTGCTCTTGGAATGGTGTATGCGAGGTGGAGAATTAGGAGGTTGGGGCAACTAACTGTCTTCTCTTTAATAAATAAATGATACCACTGTCAACCAAATACATCTCTCTAAGTAGTTAACCTTGGACTTCCCCACACAGGCTTGATCAAACAGAGGTTTAAGAGTGACATCTACTGCACAGCAGTATTATCAGGGACCTTACATCCCTTTCCCTCTAAACCAGCCATTGCTGTTTCTGTTAATGTTGGTTTTCCATAAATTTCTCTTTGCAGTATTGCTGCAGTGCCAGTCTTGGCCCTTTTTGGAAACCCTCACACAGCTCAACTTGGAGATCTGGGAAAGGCTCCAAACATCCGGCAACACTGAAAGGTCCCTCCTGAATATCATGTCAACCACTAGTCTTTCTACCACTCTGACATGTAGCAGGTACAAGTAGGCATCTATACAAACATTGACCTCTACAGTAGGACACAAAGTTTTATTGCCAATGTTAATGTATGTACACATTGGATATGAACAGTTTTCCCATAATCAGTACAACCATCATAGACATAGAGCTACCAGTGTTTTTTGATGGACACAGTTTCTGTCCACTTGCAATGATTTTATACATTGTTGTACATGGTTATATGTTGCAGCAGTCCTATTTGTTTTCACACCTAATGTCATCCATTAGCTTTCTTACTGGACAGACAGAGGCCTTGTGGCAATGAAAACACACCAGTCCCTGTTTGCTTGAGTTATCTCTGCCTCTCTAGGTTCTTGCTTCCTACCGTCACCTCCCCCACCTGTCCTGTCTGTCACAGTCTCTGGGACCAGTGCTGAGTTGAAGCAGTTCACCTCAGAGAGCATCATATCAGAGAAATATTGCAGAGCCAGTTTGATGCTGTCAGTCCATCATTTGGTTCATCCTCCTGGATCCATGTGCAGGTGTCATAGGGCAGGATACACAGGAGCAATTCAAAGATGATGGTTGCTCCAATCTCCTCCTAACTGCACTGGTCTGGTCTCATCCAGTAATGATGCAGCCCTGCAGGCATTTGTTTTTTTTCTGTGGCCATCTGTCCAGCTGTTAGAGTGGAAGTTCTTAAGCATTGTATGTGTCTGGTGGAATATCAGACTTTACCAGGAGTGCATCCTTCAAGGGTCAGGGTGACTGTTGGGCTGGTCTTCATTCATAGCTAGGTAGGCTTCCAGCCCCCACCCTGCCCACCTGCAAGTATTTGTTATGCACTTAAACCAGAGGAGGTAGTTTTCGATGCCTTCCACCTTTTGATATATTGGGACCTTCAGCTCTTGTGTATGTCCTTTGACGCTACCCCTGGTGCTTGCTAAAGTCGTGGCTCGCACCTCCTGCTGATACCAGATTGCTGGCTGCAGTTTGCAGGTTGATTCCTCTTGCTGCTGGTCGAGTGTGAGGATAGGGGCTGGCATCAGCAAATCCAACCTGGGGCCTTCTCATGCAGCAGTGCTTGGCTTCCCTGTTGCTGCTGAATTGCTGGGTTGTCTGTCTGGCCCGGTAGTATGCTGTGTGGACTCCTCCCTCTGCTTAAGGGCAAGCAAAAAGTCTCTTATTAGTGTCATCACATCTGCTGTTGGTGCTGATGTGGCAGCAGGGGTCATTGGGGAACTAACATTAGGATGAGCTCCATTTGCCTTAAAAATCATCTTTCTCATCCTCCTCCACCAAATGTCACAGAGATGTCCTTTAATGACAACAAATGATGACTAGCAACAAAATGACACTTTAATGCAAATGTACTTTTGTTCTTTACAGTGTAAAAGTCCTACTATTCACAAACTAACAATACAAACAGTTCAAGAGTGACGTAAGAACTTATATACAAATGGAATAAAAACCCTCTCTGGATTTTTACAAATGGCATTTTTTTTGTCTTGAAATGCATATGTCAGATATCTCTGAATTAAAAATGGTAGGGTTTTTTGAAGTGCTAATACCAGACACCATTCTTCATAAGGGGTGAACTGCACTGTCACTGGAGTCCTTTGCCTGTTGTAACCATAACTCTGTCCCTGGCTCCACCAGTGCATTTATTTTATTTAACTCAAGAGCAAACAAAAAAAATAATGTAGCAGAAAGAAAGAAAATACAAGTCAAAGTTACAATTAAAACAGTAAAGAACTTAGTGATTCCTTTAGCCCCATGGCTTATACCCAGCAATCACTCTCCCACAAGCTCTGATCAACATGGCAGGCCCTTACAGTCTAGGAGTTACAAAGCTCCACAGACTTACCCTAGTCAGAAGGAAGGTATTTACACTGAGAAAGAATTTGTCTTCACATTATTTCTCTCTTTTGAAGGATATGAACCACCCCCACCTGTGGATCCTTCCAGCCCCCTAAGAAGGTGTGTTCTCCTGCTCTCACATCTCTATAGGAAGCAGATAAGAACATTTGCACTAAATGTAGACAGGCACAATGTAATGTTCAAATAGGCTTGGTGATGAGGCAGGTTCCTGACTTTTTCACAGTCCTTCACTGAAAAATATTATATAAATAATATTTCATACTAAATATGTTCCTAATACATTTGTCTTTGCTGTCCTACTGAGGGTGCATGTGCAGGGCAGATTGAAAGTCAGCTTATAGCTTATTGTTCTTTATGTAAAGGTTGTTCCTGCTGCTTTCATTTCATTCTTTAACACTGGTTTGACTAATTAGACATTCGCTGACAAAAAATAAACTGTGAGGTTTATTAAAAGGGGAATTAACTAAATAAACAGGGTTAACACCAGACTAGGTTAGAACCTAGATTAACAAAACACAATACATGGGTGAAGACAAAAACTGAATCAGATAAAAAAACAAGGGTCGTAACCAAAAAGCAAACACACAGGTAAACTTTGCCAAAGGGACAAATTCAAGAATCAGTAATGAGAAACAAAACAAGGTCATAAATAGCATAGCTATCAAACAAGAAAATAACTTGGTATGTGCTGACAGGTCAGAGGCAATACTTCGTAAAGACGGGTGCAAACAGACAGGCTTATATACATAGAAACACAGGAGCCACATGACAAACTGAGGATTCTGGGAAGTGAAGTCTGCTTTGGAATGAGAGTCCAAATGAGAACCGGGAAGCATGACAGGACCTCCCCGTCAAAGAGTCTGAGAGGGCCGAGCTTTACAACGACCACCCACACTCCCGGAAGCATCTCGGGCAACACACCTGGAGCTGGCGTGGCACTGGATCGAACATCCACTCCAGGAATGATCTCTCCAATGACCTACAGAAGAGCTGACTGGACGGCTTCTAGGACAACCTCTGGGACGCGGTGCCAGACGGTCCAGACTCCTCCAACCCCAGATCCAGAACGTCCTTGGTGGGAACACAGCTCCTCTACTCAGGCTCGTATCCCTCACAGTCAACCAGGTACTGGAGAACCCTTCCTCTAC